GATCATCGCGTTTACGCCACGCTGGTCCCGTTGACTTGTACACGTATGCAATTGAGCCAATCTTCTTGATTTGGTGCAAGTTCGGCTTCTTGCTTTTCATCAACCGGTAAGGGACGTTTTTGATAGCCTGATGATACGTTCTATTCCGAACGTACACTGCCATCTTCAGTACGTATTTCGAGAGCGACGGTGGCAGACCTGATGCAGTCATCATTGTTTTCATCATGTGCGTCAGGGTCTGGTGTGCCCTTTGGCACGGATTGAGGTAGGCGGATTTGACAGGAAATCGATTCCCTTCCACTGATCCATCTTGGCGTTCACGAATTCACCTCCTCTATCACTAATTACTTTGCGTACTTGTCGTTCGGGAACTGACGATCTCCCCACATTTTGTACCTCTGCATCGCAGCGTTCACTGCGGACGCGCACTTGATTTCAACGGGTACACGGTGGTAAATCGTGAGTATCTGTCCACTGTGACCAATACAGTAGCTTGATCTGGAAACAGTAGATCCGCAATGACCACCTCGTTCTTTCTTGTGATCACGCGATCCATACTCTTCTTGGCCGGTGGCTTGCGCTCCTTTCCCATATGACAGGCTTCGCAGTCAGCGAAGCGTCGCTGACGAAGCATCATACCGTCTACTAGCCCTCTATCGACCATCACTTTAACGAACTGTGGGCAAAGGTGGCCGAGCCTTTCATGCCATCACTGAAGATCAGCAGCTCCATCGGCGGCTGATATGTTCGCTCTGGGTCGCACTGCTGCGCGAACTGGATCGGAGGACTGCACCACGTGCGTTCGCTGGCAACGACCTCATCAGCATGTTGGTGAAGATGGGTTCTTGTACATCGGCGTTCAGCGCCGCGAGCTGGGCCTTGACTAGGAACATACCGTTCACGTGCTGACGCACGTCCCACTCAGGCTTACACTTCGCAGTCTGAAGCTTGTTGAACAGGATGATCTCCTAGTTGGTACGTGTGGCAGCATTAGTCTTGCCCTCATACGTATCCACCAGATACTTCCACATCTCTGTTCCATTCGTCTTGATCATGATTTGCTGCCCTAGTTCCAAGGACAGTACTGACTTGAATAATGTTGGAATCTTAACATATAGAGAATATTTCTAGATTTCGTCCAATTTACAGGTGTTCCAATATTACACCAATACCAGTTTGAGTCTCACAGGTAACACGGGACTTCTTGTACCGACCACATTGAAATTTACATGTATACTTTGGACGTAGGTTTTATCGTCCCATGCTTATAGCAGTGACACTGAGAGACAAAAAGTGATTAACGTCGGTTTTAAGCTGACCGCGATTAAAACGTTTTATTATAATAGTTGTGGAAAGCACCAATGCATAAAACTTAATAAATCCGATTAAAGAAGCACACTGACAATGAAAGTCCTGCCAATTAGTGGTCTCTTCAATTGACTTAATTTCGCTATGGGATTCGGCATTGTCTCTTATATGCTACCTTCTAATTGACCAGTCACAACTATTAAAATTTAATAGGTTAACTAGCATTCTTTTGTTGAAGTGCGATTTGCGCACACTGTTGTAAAGAGGGACGTCTCCTCTATCTCTTGAGGGTCTCAAATAATTTTTTCCATTCAGCCGTTTCAGAGAAAAGTGGTATTGAAAAAGTTGCCTCGGACTCGCCGAAGAATTTTCATTTGTTTATTGGTCAGCTTAGTGCAAAATTTCAAACGGAATCGATTGGTGCTATTTATAGCGCTCAATTCAATGTCCTTCTGTGCTAAATTTGTAACTGAAGTTTTGATTTTTCAAAAATCGAATGTATATTTTGGTTTTTAGAGATTTTGGACACTAGAATCATTTTGAACTACGCTAGAGAATCGTAGTCGCTGGAGAATCGTAGTTGCGTTCGTCCTAACAGTTGCAAAGGATTATCCAGTTTCTTTGCGAGGGCGTTTCTTGGCTCGCAGCACGGACTTCCCGTCAGGAATCTCACTACTAGTCGGGGTAGTACCCTGGTCATCACGTCCGTCCGTCTGTATAGCCTCCCCAGTGGTCCCAGTCACTCTGGGAGTCTCTTTTGCAATCTTCGCTGCTGCAGCGGCAGCTTCGCTCTCTCTCTCTCTCTCTTCTTTTTAGACGCGGCCTGTCGATCCTCCTGAATCTGCTTTGCTCTTCGTATCCTCGTCGTTCGGCGGGTCGTACAATGGATCATTTTAGAACTCCTCCGAAACAAACGGGCGGACCTTATTGTAGAAGGACTGGATCTTCCCGGAATTTGGGATGGGGGGGGGGTTCTGCAAAGGCTCTAGGTGCATTGTTAGTAGGACGTGCACGCGGGTAGCATCCGTAGTGATACCGTCGTACACACGGCGAAGATCCTGGGTCATCTCGTCAGAGTATGGACCCTTATGGCACAACACCAGGATTGATCTCTCGCATCGTAAAGATTTGGTACTTTTGAATGTCTTTCAGCTTCTTGTATGCTTCCTCCATTGCGTCGCGGTACACTTTGAAAATTGGGTTTTGGTTTGGAATGTGCACAAGAGCAGACGACGAAGATGCTTCTTTCACAACACCGAGAAGCTGGTTCATTGTCCACGCATCAGCTCGAGCAATTTGCCTTTGCACGTGACCAAACCCTCGATCCACAGCATTCTTTGTATGGCCTTCGACAAAGAACTTGAGATTGATTTCATCCAAAAGCGACGTATGTGCCAGTGCCAGAAGCATCCGCACGACAAAATTGTTCTTGGTCTGTCCGCCACAGTTATCGGCGTAAAAGGTGAGCTTCTGGAACCCCGCAGGAACGACGATCTGGCTGATGAAATGGTGCAGCATCGAATTAACTTCATCGGTATCTTTACAGCCACACTCTCGTCGTACACGTCGCTATACTGGATGTTCTTGTTTGCGTAGAATACGCCAAACATGTTCACGTTCCGAAGCAAAAGGAAGTACGACTGCGACGGTGTGTTGCTCACACTAGGCAGTATAAGGTTCTGACTGAAATCAATGATAATCACGGCCTAAGTGTCGTCGGCTGAGGAGAGATCAGACTTGTATTCTTCCCTGTAAAACCAAACGATGTTAGTATCCACCCGATACTGTCCATAAAACAATTTGATTCTAGCATCCACCCATACCGCATACGTCGTGCCGCTGTCGTATGCTCACCAAAAGCCTCGGTCTCTGCTGCTGTAGCTCCACTCTTCATCCGCGACCAGTAGATGGTACAAAGGCCACACACGTTGGAACATGGAGAGCGAATTCAAATAGTTGGACAAAGCTTCGTCAGGTATTGGCAAAACCTGCTTGGTCTTGGTTCACGGACTCGTAGTGCTATCTCCTCCACGTAGTTGTGCATTACAGTGTACAATTGGTCCCACGTAAAATACGCCGGCAAAAGTGGGTACTCTGCGTTACTGTAGTACATCTTGATCTCTCCTTCTTTCGTTTCTTTACGTCGCACTCGCACTGGCACGTCATCACCCACAGAAACAGTGAATCTCTTGAACCACGAAACCAACCAGCGGAGATCTACAGCACTAGCGTTTTTGGTTGAGAAGATTGCCATGGGCTTTTACTGAGAAAATGCCATCGTTAATACGCTTCCTGTAGCGTGTAACCGTAGCAGTCGATATCCCGTAACAGTTGCACCACGCCGTTCGACACATTTTGTCCGATCAATGGCAGATAAAAGTTAAACTGCTCACGTAGGCCATGATCCCGATGACGCAGCACGGTATCCGTCTTCTTGAGGACTGCCAACGTCGGTTTGATGATCTGCTTCTTCTCCCCGCTGGTCATTTGCGATAGCGAACACAGAAACTGTTCCAACTCCATGGCTTTCCCCTTCAAGCACTTCTTGTTGCAAGGATCCTCTTGAATAAGACGAGTGACGAGCTCGCAAAGCTCACCGTCATTCAAATTGATGCTAGTTGCCACAGTATTGGAATCTTCGTTAACTTCACTGTTACTTGTCTGGATCTCGTTATTGCATGAGCATTCTTCCTCTGAGTCTGAGCCCCACTCGCTGTCTTCACGGGCGCCTCCACTTCCAGCGCTAGTGTCACTGTTGGTCATCGTGAGCTACCACAGAGTCATTCTCTGTGGCTGTGGCGGTGTCTGCGAGCGCAGCGAGCTCCACCTTTGTGGCCTCTTACCACTGATACACCTCCTCTAAATTTAGAGATTTGACAAAATCCCTCTCTGAAAAAAGTCACTTAAGTACGAAAAACGAAGGGTCGACTTTAAAGGCAATTATCTCAAAAACTCAAAAATGTTAACTAGCATCCGTTTGTTTTCAAATGCAAAACTAGAGACTTTCGTTGGCCAAACGAACCGCCCTAATTGGTACCTCAACCCCGAATTAGCATTTTTCCCTTACCGGCTGTAAGTTACCGCACTGACAGTACCTACAGTAGTACTGTAGCTACCGGAAGCTACCGGTAGCTTTCCCACCACGAACGCGTTTACTAATACCGGTAAAAAGGGTGCTCGGTTATTTTATGTGGCCCACACCCTCTTGGGCTCAAACCTCAAATTCTGTTGTTTCGTGTTATTCACGCCATTTGACCCCATCATTTCAGCCATCCCGTCTGGCAATTCCGCCACCCAAATCTCTGGTTCACTCTCGAAAAAGCCAGCTAACAGTCACAAGTCTTCGTGGCATACTCAGGCCCAGTCAGCTCTCAGTAACAATTGTATCCAATATGCGTGCAACTCTCTCCCTCCTGGTGGCCGTCCCCGCGCTCGCAGCGGCGCGCAACGTCGTTACTATCGGCATGACTGGTAGTTGGCACTCTGCCAACGTGACGGAGGACAACACAAAGCTGCTAGACACTGCTCTGAGTGGCAGCAGCTACTCCAAGTCGGTAGGCGACAAACGCGTGTGCTTCACTGAGGTGACGTCGCTGGAGACGCAAGTCGTGGCCGGTACCAACTACCGCTTCCACATCAGCGGCTGCGACGTCACGGACTCAGACGGCGAGTGCTCGGCGTCCACTTTGTCGTCTTGCGAGCTATCAGACTTCGTGGTGCAGATCTTCGAGCAGTCGTGGACCAGCACTCTTAAGGTCACAAGCATCAAGGCCGAGGAGGCGGCGACGACGACGCAATCTTCCACCTCTACTTCGTCCTCTGCCTCTAGCAGCGGAGAGAGAATGGTCCAGAGCGCCGTGCAGCAAAGTACGTAAACGTGCTGTGTTGTTTTGTTTCGTATAGGGAGGGACGACATGGCAGTGATAAGAAATGCAATTTCATTCTTCCATTTCTTTTTTATCCGTTAGTTATTAACTCTTTTCTAAACTGGTGGGTGTTTGTTTGTTTATCTAGCTCTGTCGGAGAATGAGAAGAAGGAGGTGGACGCGTGGATTCAAGCCAATGGACTCAATCAGTATGGCGACGCAGCAACGAGGATGTACACGGGAGGTACCCCGCTGTTTGATGAGAATACGGGAAAGACTAAAGACCGCTACGCCTACATTTTAAGCCACCACCCAGAGCGCCCGTGGCAGGAGACGGCGATGAATTTTGCAGTGGAAAAGGGGGTGGATGAGACACAGGGCCAGGGATCCGTTGCCGGTGTGTTCGCTATGTTGGGCGTGTTCACTGTGGTGCTGGCTGGTGTGGCGGTTCTAAAGATGCACCAGGGACGTCGTGACCGCGTCCGCTACAACCCCATTCACACTCGCGAGAAGTAAAATTGGACGGCAACAACAACTGCGATATGAAGGAATGAGCCGAGAAACAAGCAGCAGGTGAGGAGGCAGCGAATGTGAATTGCACAATATGAGCGGTGACTTTCTTTTCAACCGGGTTTAGTTTTTTTCCGACAGTCTTGAAGTTCTTCCACAGTTACCATCAAAAATTTACTATCAGGCAACAACAGCTCAGATCACAAAATCGTGCACACAATGACCATTTTGATCCATCTAGAGACTGATTGGAGGCTAGAACAAAGTTGAAGGCGGCAATAATCAATGGCGACGAGGGAAGATCGAACAGTGTAAGGAATGAGAAGTAACCCGCAGATCCCAGATACTTACAGTAATTTTGATCCCCGTTCGTGGTCGCATGCACGTGCAGTGCCTGTATTCCGGCGGAGCCAAGCCATAAGAATGGGAGAACACCGAAGAAATGTGGTCGGAAGAGAGAGCTGGAGCCCGTCATGATATCGGCGCCTGTCCGACAACGGCCGAAGAGACGTAAAATTCCATGCTGCTTCAAGTGCTACCAGTCACTTTCAAAGTGCCGCGAGAAGATCCTCGCATTTCTAACGCGGCAGGCTAACCAGCAAGCGCTGAGGCGGCCACCATGCCGGCATTTCCGGAAGACCCAAAGGAGGTTTTGACTATTGATTCTTCAGCGTTAAAAGACCACGATCGCTGTGATGGAACAAGCTCCAGCTCCGACGACGTCTTCCTTGATGACACTGTGCAGCAGAACGCACCTGAATGGCCTTCTATCGATGACAGCGTCGCATCCAAGACAGAAAGCGACAGTGGTTCGTGGATATTTGATACGATGTCGGGTGCGTGGACGACGGTTCCGTTGACTCCACAAACGGCACAAGTTGCCCTTGACGCCGTTCGCTACCAGAAAAACTACGCTCAGCCTGTCACCACACGCTTGTGTTTGCACTACATCAACAGTATTCGAATGCGAATGAGTGGTGGTCTCGCAAGCTACTTGTTCTCGGCCGACGGTTGCCAGCTTTCCCAAGTTGAGTCTACAGGACGTTGTGATATTTACAACTGTCGGCCGTATACGTACGAGGTGCAACTCACGCAAAAAGGGATTGGAAGCACCATGTTTAATGTGCAATCAATCTACCAAACGGTCGACCAAAAGTCAATAACCGAGCTGCGAGGAGACAGCAACTTAGACTTCTCCACAGTCTCGGAAAGAGACACAGGAACCAGAGTCGATTCCGTCATTAAACAAGCAGATACTCCGCCTCAAAGCCAGCAACCGGTAGCATGGCAAGATAAAGACGGTAGTTTGAAGCAAGGATCGAATTTGTTCGATGATGATGAACTGATTGCGTGGACTAACGGCGCGAACAACGTCTTGGATTCACAGTCCGCCACCGCTGAGCCGCTGTCGCTCCGAGCTGAGCCAGTCTTCATGGAAATGCAGAAAGCTCTTGCTGTTGGTACTGAGTCTGAAGAGGCTTCCATAATTGCAATTGTCGGGATCGTCGCAGTGGCGGTGGCTGCTGTTGCTTTCGTTATCGCCATCATTGTAGTTCGTTGGCGTGCACAAAGCAATACTAATCAAGACGAAACGAACCGAGAGTATTCACCCTTACGAAGTACCCTCATTACTACCGAGAACACGCTCTCGGTGACTAGTAGGGACAGCATCCCTGGTGCAGACACCAAACCGGACTTGAACAAAGTAGAGTTCTTCGGTTGAAGTAGCTTATGCGTAAGAATTAACTTCGTTGAAATCAAGAGACGTAGCTCTTCGGTCACTTGTTTCCCACTGCATTCTACCTCGAAGTAATAATTATGCGTTCAAACGTCGGTATCAGTAGAGGTAAACAACAACAAGGATCCGTGCACGGCATAGATCTCTGGTGGCACCAAAAGTCGCAGTGAGCTCTCCACCGTTCAATGCATTCTCAGCAGGATTCTCGAACTCGTCAATAAACCACACAACACATCAGTTAGACATGGTCTCCGATTCCATCGATTTGCCTCTTGTCGCCGACGACATGCAGCTCGAGGTTGATGCGATTGCATGGGAGTTCGTACCACTGACGCTGGAAACTGCTCAAGTCGCTCTTGATGCCGTGCGCTACCAAAGTAACTACGTTCGAACCGTGACCACAGGATTCTGTCTTCACTACATCAACTCCATTCGCAAGCGTGTAAGCAGCAGTATTACGAGCTACCTCTTCTCGGTCGATGGTTGTGAGCTCTCAGTTGTAGAGCCTACCGGTCGCTGTGATATCTACTTGTGTCGTCCGTACACGTACGAGGTGCAACTGGCACAGAAAGCGATCGGAAGTGACGTCTTCATGGTACAGTCAATCTACAAGACCGCCGACCAGAAAACGTTGGATGAGCTACGGCTGGAGACGAGCAACTTGGACTTTTCGACTATGATCGAACCCGTCTTTTACCCATATGAAATCTCGCTTCAAACTGAGGAACCCGTCGTTAGACAAGTTGCTGATGAAGAACCTGAAAGTCCGATCCTCAACGATGAACCGAGCATTTCGACTTCTCATCTGAAAAAAAATTGGAAATCGCAACCGGTTCCAACAGCGCAAGATACAAGCCCCCCATTGTCATTTCGCGCTGAGCCAGCGTCAATGATTGCATCACAACCCGAGAACATTGTTGCTTCCAGATCTGCTACAGCGGTCGCCATTATCGGGATCGCGACTGTGGCGATCTCTATGATCGCGTTTGTGGTGGCGTTGGTTATCGTTCGATGGCGCGCACGAGCCAACGCTACAGAGGTCGCTCTGAGCGAAGAGTATCCGCCATTGAGCGGGGTAGCCAAAACCACAAAGGGAACAGTCTCCATCTCTAGCACGGAGAGCGTTGCATTCGACACGAAGCATGACGTTGGGCAGCTAACCGGTTTCTTAATCTGAATAACTGTACCCTTTTTTATAGCAAAGCAACCAACATAGTAGAAGTAGTATTCATCAGATTGCTTGTCCACACTTACAGACCAGCAACTGCAGCGCGGATACTACTCAATAAATCGGTGTGCTCTAAAGGCGGTGGTTTTGGCCTAGCAGCCTTAGCCATGCCTCCTTTTAACGAGGATCTCCCAAGCGCATCATCACAAGCATCGGGGTTGCAACGTTCGGCTCGGTTAGCAGAATTTGCGAATACGTGACGAATCCCTGCTGCTCCTGCGAAATAAATTTGCAGCGCGATCGGGTTCACTGTGGAATTGGTTTCTTGCTTCATGTTGCAGGTACGTTCCGGCTGAGCCGTTCCTGAGTGTGCGAGTTGGATGCGAACAGCAAGGTGCTCGCTTAGACGGCAAAGCATTGAACCGTCAGGCTCGCTTCCCAGAGTATCAGCTGGTTGACACGTGCCATCTCGAAGGTTACCTTTTGCATCCCATTGACGAAGAATTGCACCAGAGCCAATGTCAAATAGCAATCCATTTCCATCGGACGTCGTCGATAGTAATGTCTTCCCACTTGGATAAGCATTCAAAAATCCCACACCCGCGGGGTCGAAGCTCAAAGCTAACTGGCCATCCTTATGAGCTGCGTAAACTCGGTATCCGCTACGATCTGCTGAAGTCTCGAAGTCGACGCTGATCGCTACGCTCCCAGAAGGCCACCGAGCAATCGCTGAGCCATCACGCCGCACCTGAACGGCAGTCACTGTGCTGTTCGGATACGCTACAGTATACTCGTGCTCTTGGTGAATCGGTACAGTTTGCTCAGTAGGTGTTGCTGTAGCTAACTTGGCCTTGGAGCGTTGCTTTGATTTGCTTGTGCCGGGTAATTGAGACAAAGGCATCTTCCTCTTGAGGTAACTATTGTTGTCAAATGTTGGGAGCGTCAGCACCGAGTCCAATATTCCACAAGGCTTGGCATCATCCCCCGTTTTTGGTAAATCGTGGACTCCGTTGTCACTCTGCAGCAAATTTCCATTGGTAACAATTCCCTGTTCAGCTTTAGCACTATCTTTCCGATTGCCATCGATTTTCGCATGAGTAGATACAAGAGAATCTGCAATGTTGGGCTGCAGCGCATTTTCATTTTCAGCGCTCATCGACTGGCTCTCCAGTATCTCCGTTGATTTTTCATTGTTGTCGACAGGAATGAAGTCCTGAACTGGAAAGGCTCGCAAAAATTCTTCGGCTGTCATCTGTGGACTCGTCGAAAACAAGTCCAATTAGCCAAGACTTCTAAAGACTCTTAGGACGTTATCAATAAACCAGCGAGGACACCTGTTTCTTTGTCTTCGCTGGCTTACTCAATGGAGCAGGCGGTGCTAGTGCTGTGGTTAATATGTCTTCTGAATCTTCGTTCGACCTTGGATCTAGATTAAAAAAAAATGCATAGTGATTAACCTCGGTAAGAAAACTACACCCAATAGGACGTGTCTACCATCAGAACGCTCTGATAGAGAGAAAAGTGAGCAATCGGTTGCTCCAGAATCCAAATCTTCTCTTTCTTCTATATGTCTCGCTTCCTCTCGAAGTTCCTCCGTGATGCTAACCGTATCAACTCGCTGCAGCCACGGAAGAACTTTAAGAATCGCCAAACTGCCGCAGGGTCCAAAGACACACACGTTAGCGCTACAGAATCACCATCAAATGCAAAAAACCATAATTGAAGCCGCACGTATAGTCGCCTCGTTCAGTACATGGGTTCGGGTGAATAACCAGCGTCTGAAGCGAAGTGAGCTGCTGCAAATGAGCCAGCTGCGCACTCTCAATGCGGTTGCCTCTTATCCAGAGCTCCTCGAGGCAATGTAACCCCGCTATCCAGCTCAGATCGGCGATCTGGTTACTTGAGCACTTCAGCACCAAGAGGTTTGATAGCGTAGCCACCTCCTGCAAACTCTCGACAGAATTGTGCGAGACGTCGAGACTGCGAAGCTCCTTCATCTGCAACAATTAAGGAATGCACCTTTAACTATACCGTGGTGAAAAAAAAATGAACTAAAATTTGAGCTGCATACCTTCTCCAGTTCACGCAAACTACCGATACAGTTGAACTGATCAATCCAAGTAAGTATTTGCATAACAAAATAATCTCCACTGCTGTACGCACCGCCACGTTGAGGTATTGTGCTCTCGGCATGCTTCTCACTACATCCTCAAGACTTGAGAGCTGCTCGTCCGCCACAATAAGTTGCAGTTCATCCTCGTTCTCAATGCGCATGGCTACACAAGTGCTCGCGTCGCTTCGTGTAATCATGGCATACTTCAATTTAAAGCAGTTTAACAGGTTTGAAAGAACCTACCTAATCGCATATACTGTGTCCACACCACCACATCCATCATTTTAGAGGCCCTTCAGCATCAATTAGCACCATGAACTTCGGCGGTATGATGGGCGGCGCGGCACCGGGTGTGCCCCAGCAGCCTTCGCAGCAGTCACAGCTTATGATGGCCAAAGTGGAGATGGCGTCCTACGCGGATTTGTTCGAGCGTCTGTCGCGCGTGTGTTTCCAGAAGTGCAAGTTCAAGTACAACGACGGCCAACTGAACGTGGGCGAGATGAGCTGCATCGACCGCTGCTCGGGCAAGTACATGCAGGCCTACAGCACACTAGGTGTCAAGATGGCGCAAGTGGAGAAGGAGATCATGGATCAGGCTGCTGCTGGCGCCGGTGTGCAGCAATAGACGAAGGAAGCGGCACAAGATCCAAGCCAATGAGACTTTTTAGCACAGAGAGTGATAAGAGAGACATTGGGAGATCTAAATAGTGGCTTACGTTGTTGATTGTTGCTGTCCAGTCGATTTGCCTTGCCTTGCCACAGACTACGTAGCGTTCACTTTACTGACTTGGCCTCCTTTCGACTAACTGATGACAGCATTGTTGTCTTTCCTGCTCTCTATCTACGCGTTCTAGCACGACACGCGTGATGATCTCTTAGATTGAGATCCACTTGGTGATCGTCCACATCGATGCGCTTCCGTTTCTTCTCTGCGAGTCAATATTTGTGTCTGCTATAGCCGCTTAATCCGGACCCACCGACGCCTCCACCAACAGCAGCAGTGGAGCCTAATGGGAGTCCACCGGGCACATACGGTGGCCTTCCACCTGAGTACTTGGCTCCATCACCTTCACCTCGGTACGACATGCCTGGAGCGTATCTTGCTTGTCGTGTGTAGCGACTGCCTTCCATGTTGCCACTATCTAGACCCAGACCGGTTGGCGTCCCGCCTGTGAGAACGCTACTGCCTGCTGCTGCCATCGCGTTCCGCTGAGGTACCCGCGGTATACCATAAGACGACGCTGATGCAACAGAAGCCTGTTGCCGTAAACTGCTATACGCTCCGACATCCACCACCGGCTGTTGGTTCCTTCCATACTGTCCACTGCCGCTCCGTTGACTTCCTGCTGATTTCTGAGGTGGAGTGAATGTTGCCAGCTTCTCCGTCGACTCTGCACGTTCATATTGCTGCTGACTGTTTCCGCTAGGAGTTGATACAGTCAACGGTGTGGCGACGTTCACATTTACCTGGAAAAACGGATACTGCAGAGCTTGGCTTGATGTTGGTCGCTGATTTGGGTCGAACTTGAGTAGATCTGTCATCAGTTGAAGCGCCTCTGGACTCGCATGGGGGATCAATTGAGCTAGTGATGTCGGTACGAACTGCGGAAACCGGTAGTTCATCTGCGCAGCGAGCTTCATACCTTCCGGCCACGTGCTGTGTGTTGGATTTCCCAGTACTGAGCAGATTTTATACAGTTGGTCTCCTTCACTACTACCCGGGAACAACGGGCGTAGTGTGAACATCTCGGCCATGATGCATCCCATGGCCCACGCGTCAATCGGCGAGTTGTACGTTGTAGATCGCAGCAAAACTTCTGGAGCTCGGTACCAACGTGTCGACACGTAGTCGGTAAAAGGCGGTCTCGAGCGGATTTCCCTTGCCAGACCAAAATCTGCGACTTTGACGGTATCACCTTTGACCAGCATGTTCTCAGGCTTGATATCTCGATGGAAGAAGCTGTGTTTGTGCATGAAAGCCAACCCTTGGAGCATCTGGTACATGAGGTTGCGTATTTTGGACTCTGGAAAGTGCCGATCCCTCTTCTTCATTGTGTCGTACAGGTTGCACTCCATGTATTCAAACACGAAGTACAGCTCGTCATTCTCACGGATCACCTCCTTGAGTTTGATGATGTTAGGGTGGTTCAGCTTCTTCAGCGACTATAAAAAAGCAATAGCAATTGTCATGAAATGGCCATCGCTTTATGCAACGTGGCATCTACACGTACATTGACTTCTCGTAGTTGCATGCACTCTTCCCATGAGTAAAACTTCTTCTTCATGCGCTTAATCGCCACCTAAAGATCAGCCCAAAAACGGTTCATTAACATTTTTTTCCCGATCTGTTGTTGCCAACGCTGCACGAACCACTTCTCCGGACTGGCGATTGACGGCTTTGAGAACGGACCCATACGTGCCATCGCCTAGCTGTTTGGTGACTTTGTAGCGATTCATCTTACGCTGCCGCGCACAGCTTCGACCGACGCACGGACTGCTGCGTCCGCTGTTGCTGTTGCACTTTTCCCACCCAGCGAAATGCGCACCAAGAGGCGTCAGATGCAGAAGACGCGCCCAAAATGGGAAAACAGCTCGATTGTCAAAAATAGTCGCGCGGCCGTTTCCCGATTGAGTCACGTTGAAGTGCCACACACCAGAACCCAATTTAGCGCTTTTAAACCCAAAATTGACAAAATCGGGTCTTTTCTCAACAGTCTGACCGTCATTCCTAACAGTCAGTATCGGCGATGCAGACGTGGGAGGCCTTCGGCGCTGGCTTGGCTGTGGTGGCCTCGATCGTGTCCAATCTGGGCGTGAACATCCAGAAGTATTCACACTCGAACGAGGCCGCCCGACCCGTGCGCGAACGACGACCTTACATCCGCCGCCCCGTGTGGTGGGTCGGCTTCGCACTCGTTGTGCTCGGTAGCGTCGGTGACTTCGCGGCCTTTGGCTTTGCGACACAATCGCTTGTGGCGGCATTGGGCGGCGGCGCAACTCTCGTCGCCAATGTTGTCACTGCCCAGTGTCTAAACGGGGAGAGACTCTACAAGGTGAGGGGAATGCAAAAAAGTATCCTAGAATTGCCATTTGCCATTTCGTTTTGTCTAACTGGGTTGATTATTTCTTTTTCCTTCCTGCGCAGACGGATGTGGGTGGCGTATTATTCGTGATTATGGGCGTGGTGATGATTGCATGCATTGCCGAGCCGAATGTCGAGTACCCACTGCCAGAGCTCGAGCTGAGATTTGTCCGAACGCGTAAGTTTTGGCTGTCACTGTCACTGTAAAGGCTTGTGGTTGACAATTTTGCGTTGTTGCAGCCTTCGTGGTGTACATCACTTGTGTTGGGGTTTGCACCGTTAGCATGCTAGCCACCATCAAAGGCTCAGTTGCCAACCGACTGAAAAACCAAGTGTACTGGTCCAACAAGCGACAGAAGAAGCTCATGAAGGTTCGCTCTAGCGAAAAATGTGCATGTTGTGGTGGGCAATTCTAATGTTTTGGTTGTCATTCAATTTTAGGAATTTGAGCTTCGGGTTGAGAGACTTGAACAAAGACTTCTGGATATGGAAGTAAAACTTCTGCAAGTCACCACTTCGCCTGCTCCGTTACCTACGGGGCTCGTGAATCCTCCTGCAATGAGCAGAGAACTACGGGAATTGATTGATTCGACAAATGCTGAAGACGCTGCAGCTGACGACGAGGCTGCGGCTCGGGAGTCTCGTGTGCCATACTACTACGCTATCTGCTCCGGCATTGTGGGAGCCATGACGGTGCTGCTGGCCAAGTGTTCGGCTATTATGATTGCTCTTACACTCAAGGGTGAGAACCAGTTCAAGTACGGTCTTACCTACATTTTCCTGGGCGGAATGTTTGTCTGCATCCTTGTGCAAACTCATTTCCTCAACATGGCTACGGCTTTGGGGGATATCATGACTGTGTTCCCCATTTTTCAAGCCTGTTGGATCACGTTCAGTGTTGTTGGAGGCGCGATTTTCTATCAGAACGACGACGAACCATTTCCGACAACCGACAAAGTATTTTACCCATTGGCGTTGCTTTCGATCACTGTTGGCGTTGGGCTGCTGGTGCAACATAATTCCTCGGCGGAATATAAAGCAAATGGAGGCAAACCGGGGGCTAAAACACGATCAGGAATGAGTGCTACCAGCGACGAGGATGACGAGATTTTGCTGGACGCGGATGCGTCCATGAGCTCGCCTCTGCTTCCAGCGGGCTCACGGGAAGATGAGGGATACTTGCACCTCAGCCCCTAGGTACATGACGTTGGTTTATAAAAGTGAAAGTCAATCAAAAAGTCTATTGAAGTGCAGCCAATACATCTCGACATTGCATGCTTGGTATAGCCTTTGTGTGCTCCACTCAATACACGACAAGTGCAGGCCAGTGTTGAGCTCTAATCATCATCCACGACGATGTCGGGGAAGTCGTCATCGTCGTCGTCAGCTTCAACCGTAGCGACAAGTTTCTCCTCATTATCACTGTCCTTGGCACGTTTCGCATCTGGTTCATCGTCCTCTTCTTCTTCATCATCGCTCTCATCTTGAGCCTCCTCCTTTTCAGTTTCCATGGGTTTCGTCTCGCTAGAAGTCTGAGGTCGAGCATCGTCGTAATCTTCTTCCTCTTCGTCCTCCTCATCGTTCTCTTCAGTGGGTGCCTCAATCTTCGTCGGTTCCTGCTCTTCCTTCTGTTCAACCTTCTCGTCCTCACTTTCATCTTTCTCGTTTTCGTCCCAGTCCATAGCATCCCCCAGAACAGAAGACTCCTTCGTAGTTTTTGCGTAGTTTCCAAAGCTACGGTTCACCTGCTCCTTCTTACTTCCCTGTTGAAAGGAAATAGCCATTGGGGGTGCACGTGGGTGTAGTATGGCCTCACCAGCGTTGAGAGCAACCAACTGGAGAACCGAAGAAGCGCCTCCGCTGCCAACAATGCGACGCTGCCAGTACTGCAGTCCATGAAGCAAGCTAGCAGCATGAGAGCCCGAGAAGTCAGCAGTCACTGCGTCGGATAGCAAAGCGAGCGCCACCGGGTCAACTGCAGCTTGGGCGTGGCTTCCCACAGCATATCGGTGCTGAACAGCCTTGAGTGCCAGCTCACTGGCCGAAGAACGACATTCCTCTGGCAACAAACACCCATAGACACTCACGCAGCCAGCGATAGCCGTCAGCACAGCTTCAAGAGTCAATGCAACGACAGTCTCGTCACGCATAGACACAAATCTCGTCTGAGCGCCAGCCGAATTGCCTCCATTCAGCGCCGCGAGAGTCGCAGCCGCAGCAGCTTGACGCTTCCGCTTCTTGCTCTTGTTCCCACTGTTCTTCGAGTCGTTCTGCTGAGCTGCCAGAGCTTTAGCCACGCTGTTCGAGGAGCTCGTACTGCTCGTCTTGTCATCCAGACTACGCTTGCAACGCGTGACCAACTCGTTCAGCAATGGCACACCAAGTTTCTCGACTGTACTGGCACCCAGACGACGGGCACACACCGCTGTAGTATCAGCCAAAGCCTGAAGGTCTTCACCGTCACCGACGCTCTCAGCAGCAAGCAATAGAACACGAGTGATTTTACTAGCATGACGCAGAGCACAGATACCAGCACGTTCCACCGACGCACTTAAAGCACGCAGGGCTAGAGCGTGCACACGCGGTATCACAGCGTACACGACGCTAATGGGGAGACGAACACCGTCGTCCGATACTCCCGTGTGTTTTCCCACTTCGTGTGCACGCACGCCCATTGCACGTCGAGCAAAGACAATAATTTCTGGTAGAACCTGTTGCACTTCACGCTCGGATATCTGTCCACGACTAAGCGTAGCAGTGCGAGCGCTCAGTGATTCGTGCAACGCGCTTAAAGCACGATACATTCTGGTCAGCGTCACTTCGGCACGTTGGTAGATCGGCAGCTGCTGGCTGGCAGCCCCCTGCACCCACAGCTTCTTGCCCGTCACTCCTTCGGTCGAAGGGGTTGAAGAGCGTTTGCCTGCCAGTAAGTCAAGCTGTTGATGTGCCGCCTCTAAAGCCTTCTGAGCCATCTGAGTCCACACCTGCTGAGGTTTATCTGATGCGTTGCACAGTAGCGCAAGACACTCCGTCGCCTTCTGAGCCACCTCATCGTTGTCACCTCCAACGGAAGGGAACAGGACGTCCACACATGCCGACTCGATCTTCATGGCATAGCTCCTCAGTGAGTTAGGAGATGCACGCAACAAGGTGACAATGAGTTCCAGCTGAGCAATGACCAATGAGGCGTTGCTGGTCTGGCGTAGTAGCGCTACTAGAGGCTGGAGCAGCTTGCCAAGCAGCTCCAGAACCTCCCGACGTGTGTCCGGGTTGAACCTGTCCACATGGAGCAGTAGAGCTTGAGCCACGCCGCAGGCAGCAGCTGCAGAGTGCTCCGCCTCGTCGTCCTGCGTCTTACTCGATTGCTGCTGCTTCAAGACCTTCACGACGCGCTCTAGCAGCTTCACAGCCAGTGCTTCGAGTCGTTCCAATGGACTCTGACGCATCGTCGTGTGCAGCAGTTCCCATCCAACGCGACGAGAGGTTGACGAGCCCTCCACGAGTTGTAACAGCCTGGTTTGCCATTTAGTCAGAGCCTTCCCGTCCGTAACAAGTCCGAACACATTGTGGCGCTCTAGAGCCTCGCGCAGAGCCACCTGTTGCGTCAAAAAGGTCTCCAAAGCAGCGGAATCACTCTCCAAGTCATTGGGAAAAGCTAAAGCGAGCACCGATGACAGCAAGTTGCGCGCCAGGGCCGTCTCCACGGCGCGCGAGTCGGACGACATGTTGACCGATGAAGAGGTAGAATGGATGGCTGGATCGGAGCTGCTCGGTCGTGGTTGGTTGAAAGAAGAGGGTAAATTTTCAGCCAATGGAGGTCAACTTATTTTTAGCGAATCAGAGAGACGAGTAATCATGCCTCCTGCGTAATCTGTTGCCTCTCGTCCTTACCCGACCAATTCGATCGCCATTTCCTTTCTCACCCCCAAGCAACGAACCGAGCACTCGAACGCCACTTATCAAATATGAGTGACGCGCCATCAAAGAAAGCAAAGAAGAGTAGCAGAAGGTTGCTGGACTCGATGCCGTACTCGACGGCGTTGCAGCGCAGAAGAGTGGAGGAGACGCAGAAGCTTCGGGAAGAGGTGGAGCAATTGGAAGCGATTCTCAAAACGAGGCAAACCCATAGAGTGCTTACGGAAGTGTCACACTCAGTGGGGGCGGGTCAGCCGCACGCGAATCAGAGCTCTGCATGGACAAGAGTTACGACGGAGTATAAGAAGCGCCGGTATGCCGAGGACGTGAACGCAGAACTCCGGGCAATTCAAGCGCATCTGATGACGCTAAACACAGAAATACGTCGAGTCGTACAGCGGGTTGACGTAGTTTCCTGCTCTTGAAGACAACTTGACTGTCGCATTTCGAAGTGAAACTAAGAGCCACGAAGCTCTCAAGAGCTACTTGGAGACGAATACTATCACTCCAATGGCGTGCACGACGAAACAAGCTGCTGACATTCTGTGGACGATCCTGTCTCAATTGAGCGAGGGGAGTGACGATTCTTGTCGCTTTGTGAGTACTGAGAGCTGATATAGTGGTGCATTTGAGGTACTCCCTGACAGTGCTGGTCTCTTTATCGTGGCAGGTGAATCGAAACAGTCCCGATCAAAATAAAGTGAACTCGACAGTGCGACTACACGACGGCAGGTTGATCCTGAACGCAGTGTGCGTTTTCCACAGATATGACGAATGCGAACACATGGTGCTAGTCGGGACAACTAGGTGGGCTTTTCCCACTAGTGGAATTCGATTTGAAGGTCACCACTGGACTGTTATTTCTCCAAAGCTTTCAGATCCGTCATACTCGTCGGTGGTCCAGAGCTGCTACAGGTTGCAGCCGAAGGTTACGGATGCTGCATCGATCCTACCAACAGATCTGGAGAGTGCTCGGGGGTTAGTCATGGGCATCCTTGGGAAGAAAATGCTTTCAGCGATGCAGCTGATGCAGAATGCTCTTCTCTGTCAACTTGATCTGGGACCATGTATGCTGAAATAAACTCGCCATACGGGTGTTTAATTCGACCAGCTCACGAGTTCACACCTATTGCGCTGTCCGTACTACTTACGTAGCCAGGATACGATCCACATTATGCAGTTGTTTTACTATTTTACTGAGGAAGTCAATTATCAATACATTTACGATAACGTTTTGATGCAAAAATGATTTGAGCGTATGCAAAAGATGGTCAGCAAGTATCAACCTTGCTCCGCTCATCACAATACTTCTTCGGGTACGAAGAGATAGCCATTATTCATTGCTCAACCCGGACTTCCATCGAAGAAAACTGTCAAAAAGTAAAAAAAAAAAATGTTCAACGGTTTGCGTGCCCAAGACTATCATGTTGAGTCAGGGCAATGGCGGTTTATCACCTGAACCGTTCAGTTTGATTCATCAGGTTGAGTCAGGGCAATGACGGTTCATCACTTGAACCGCTCAGGAAATATATCGTCATTGACACTGGAAACGTAAGAAGGAATGAGCTCTTTCCAGTAATTTGCCTTGTATTGACTATTGCGGCTACAAAGCTCTTTTTCAAAGCTACACGAGGCAGTGCAAGGAACAGTTGAGGTTCACAGAAAAAAAAAACAACGTATTGGACGAATCCAACCTACAACGTGCTCTAACTGAATTGAAAAGGCTGGTAATCCAGGGTTGCTTCTACATCGAAAAGTGCTCTGCAAAATATACATGAATTTATACTTCGAAGCAACTTTCATCCATCCGGATCGTTCTCATCTACATGGAATTTCTAGGTTGGAAGCATTGGGGCGTATTACACCACGCTTCGCTAGCGACTCCAGCCAACCGAGCGAATCAATCCACCATATCACGCCGTCTCTTTCCAGAATCCCATCCGTCACTACAGCCTGTAGTCTACAGGGCCCTATTTGACCCCTTCGTTCCACTCGCCACCTCGTTTCATCACTAAAATCATTGCGCACTTCTGCTATTAGTGAATCGCTATATATATACCACCTCTCCTTTCCTTGTCTATCCTTGTACCTGCACGTCCATGAACGTTGGGAGAGAGCCATAGCGAGACGCAGTGTCTGCAGGTGGCGCCACTCCAGTCATCAAGTGACCCCTTCGTGCTTCTGCGGCTGGCGTGCTGCTTCTGTATTCGACGCCCTCTGCTTCCGCCATCTGGCGGTGCAGGCATTTTAGTCCACCACGCTCGCTCTCTTTCCTCACCTCCTGCTGCCTTCTTATCCCTCGCCAGTCTTAGAAATCTCGTCTGCTCCTCAAGATGCCGTCGCCTGGCTCCCTGCAATTGCTGGCCGGGCCGCTCGAGGTGAAATTCAAGGCAGGCGCCTTTTCCACCTGGTCCGACAGCTTCGTACGCCTCGAAGGGCGTTGGATCTGCGTATACAAGCGAGAGCGCGATTTCTCTCGCCAAGGCGCAGTCGAACTCGGACTGGGTGTCAGCGTCACGGATATTTCCAATCCAGAGGCCTCCACCAAGTTCCCAAGACGATTCGACTTGACCTGCAATGGCGGGTTACTCCCCAAGACAGAGGTGAATTTCCGCACCAAGTCACGAAAAGATCGGGATCTGTGGGTACAAGCGATCTCCATCAACCTGCAATTCCTCTCCAGTCCTCGAGGCCTCGACCCTCGCTTCGGAGCCGGGGAATTGGCCCCGGTTACCAACAAAATGCGTCAAGACTTGATGCTGCACCCGATCCGAATCCGTTCCGACTTGACCGTTAGATGTGCAACAGGTGAATCGATCGTGACATTTCTTGTGAATCAAGGACTCGTTCCGGATCGAGTAACGGGTGCTGCGTTTTGTCGCCAATTGGTATCGATGAACCTATTGCATCATGTCATGTGGGACCGCGACTTCACGGACTCGCCTGAACCATTTGTGATCGTTGCACTTGACGATGAGGACAGTCAAGTTGACACGGAAAGTGACTACCACGTTGCACATTTTCTGAAATACATGGACTCGCGTAAGTTCTGGAAGTACATTGCTAGTCCAGATGCAGTGAACGCGAGTTCCATTACCTCTGCTAGCAATGTGTCAAGCGGTAGTCGACGAGCTGCGTCCAGTTCAGCGTTCCTCGATCGATCGACTAGCTCCTCGGATAGTGGACGAAATATCGGACTCATTCCTGGATCGGACGATGAAGCCTCTCGCTTCTCGACACTCAGCACGAATAACGGTCTCCCTCCTACAGCGGACAATGTGGAGAAGAAGGCTAGAAAATGTGCCATCTGCACCAAGTCGTTCAATCCTCTACGTAGACGCCACCACTGTCGTCAATGCCGTGCGGTTATCTGCAGTAATTGCAGTGTGATCCGACGACCGATGAATAGCAACGGAGAAGCAGAAGGCGCTGCGTCTCCATCGAGAATCTGTATCAGTTGCAAGCTCAGCTCCAACGCTAGTTTCATTGGTGAAGTTGATGATGTTGTGGAAGGGAATTCACAGCTCCAGACTTCGCAGAGTGCGAGTGACGTATTGACTTCCACGTCGTCAACAAGCGACGGAATGGGCAACAGCTTCCGTCGGAGATCTAACGGCGTTGCTGTATCCAGTCAAGAAAACACAGAGCCATTCTGCCAGCACTGTCAGAACGAGAACTGCAGTCCGATCACGGAGTTCTTAAAGATTTCCTACCCGGTAGAATCACCTACTGAAGCTGGATTTGTGACGGCTAAACGGTTGGATAATGAAGCTGAACGCCTCAAGTCTGTCGAGTGCCTACTGGTCACTATGGCAGCCACACCGAGTGCTACGCGAGTGCTGCGTCAGTTCTGTAACATGGCAGCTATTGCCTGTCAGTGCCCCGTTGCCGTCGTTGGGCTGCTTGACGGTGACAATTATGTATTGGGATCTCAGTACGGTATTAGTCTGGATGCAGCAGTGCCTCGAAAGCAGTCATTGGCTGCTCATACTTGTCGTAGTGGCAACCCGCTTGTATGCTCCGATATGACTCAAGATGTTCGCTTCAAGGGCAACACTTGGCGACTGGAGAGTCTCAAGAATGCAGTGTTTTACGCTGGGATTCCTCTAACTCTATCAAATGGACATACGGTAGGAGCGCTGGAGGTGTTTGACACTCAACCGCGTTGCGAGTGTGGCGAGGTGTTGGGTCAGCTTCAAACGGTGGTGCGTGGACTACTCAATTTGTTCGAAGAGATCATGACTGCGGCTGCAGAGGCACAGCAAGAGGAACAAGAACAAGAAGCACAAGAAGTTGAAAAACAGAAGGAGGAAGAAGCTGCAGCTCAGAAACAGGAGAAGGCACAGGCATCAGCTGTGAATCCCATGGAGGCTCAACTTCTTCAACTGCTGTCACAAACTACCTCTACACAGGAACAACTTCGCACTCAACAGGGGCAAATGGTCAGTGCTATCAGCAGCCATTCCAAACAGATCAACAACCTGGCCAAGCAGCTCGAAAGGATAGAAGCCACACTGGCGGCCAAGCTGGACGGTGAACGTCGAGTCGAGTAGGAACCCCTATCTAATTATCAAGCAATTGGAACGAACATGCTTTTCAAACATTAAATTATGACACGTTTATCAATCGATTCGAGTGATCAATAATTGCAATTATGGCATGCGAGTTGGCAACAATTATTGTTCAATGATCACCTTCCTAGTGTTCTCGTCTGTTTAGTGCATTCTTGTACAGGTTGGAGTAAAACGCATTAACAGACGGCGCGAACCAATGCGAGCATGCACGGGCTCTACCTTACTTGCACTGTATCGCTGGAACTAATTCACTACCTGGGGCAACTGTAAGTCTACGCACTTGCTGCGTCCGCATCTTCCTTAGCGGGAGAGTCCTCGTCATCTGTGTCCATGCCGAGCTTAGCAGCGAGCGTCGATTCCATGCGCTCAAGCTGCTTGGCCAAGTCGCTGATCTGCTTCGAGTGACTGCTGATAGCGTTCACCATCTGTCCCTGTTGGTTTCGTAGTTGTTCCTGTGTGCTAGTGGTTTGAGACAGCAACTGCATCAGTCGCATCTCCATTTCTTCCTGCGTGGGCTCAGCGCCTGCTGCAGGGGCTGCCGGAGTCGATGCTGGAGCTGGTGTTTCTACCGGGGCCGGGGTTGGTGTTGGTGCAGGAGGTACCGGTGTCGGCGCTGGAGCCTTCGGTTCTTCCCTTGGCTTGGGTGGTTGAGGCGCCGGACCCGACGGCTTGTGCGCTGGAGCGGCAGGAGCTCGCGGCTTTGGCGACTTCTTTGGCGGTGGAATGGCCGGTGCACTAGGTGCACTGGGAGCTGGGGCACGAGGGGTACGCTTACCTTCTCCACTTTCACTCTTCGGTGTCCGTCGTCCTGACGAGGAAGAAGACTTGTGCGCCGTTTCTTCTTCTCCAAAGGACTCGTTCTTAGCCAGGATCTCCTCAAATTTACGCAGAAGACCACGCACAACCGTCTGTAGCTGCGAAATGACGTCCATACAGGCGAATCGTGGCGTAACATCGAACACTTCAATGGCTCCGATCGTGTGGCCGTTCGAAAGCGTAAGCGGGATACCAGCGTAAAACTGCGCCTGCAACACATCTCTCCGCCACGGGTTGGCAGCAAAGCGAACGTCGCGCGTCAAGTCGCTGCAGACCAGAGGCGAGCCGTTCCGACAGGCGTGAGCTGCCAAACTCTTCTGTCTATCGATCTTGTCTAGAGATCCCAGGCCCGTCTCAGCACACGGGACGTACACGTGCTTGTCTAGCAGACCCACGAGCGCCATCGGACTCGAAGTCGCAATAGCAGCCATGTTACAAAGCTGCTGAATTGTCTGCGAAGCCGACGTGCCAGCCTTGAGTGCACCGCGGATAGTCCGTACCGAACGAAGGCGTTCCTTCTCGTTATCAAGGTGTTTCGCTGCAATGTACTGATTCTTGGCAGCTGGGTCGGCGAGTTCCAGGAAGAACGGGTAGGGCACTTCAAAGTACTCGTGAAGCGGGGCACAGGCTTCGTTCATGCACCACGGACAGTCCTCCGAGACCGCTGGGGGGCCAGTAAACGAGCCGTGACGTCCTCGTTGACCAGCTGGCTCTGCATTGCCATTACCACTCGTCGTACTAGACTTGCGTCGAACAGGAAGACTCGAGCCACTGGCTGTGCGCTTCTCCATAGGGGCTTGAGAGTCCACCATGGAGTCGTCCTTGGATCCGTTCCCCGTTCCGGACGAGTAACTGGCAAAGCTCAGTCGGTCAGTAGCAAAGTCTCCGTCACTGCCACTGGGCTGTGAGTCCGACGTGGCGGCCGCATTGGTTCCTCCATTGGTGGAAAAGATTCGGTCGTAAAAGTCGTCCTGGGACGCGATGGAGCTGAGCTTACAGCTTACGCACATGCGCACTGTAATGGCACCTTCGAAAGTGCTTTCGACCTTCCTGGAGATGCTGCATGAGCTGCAGACTACGGCCGTGCAAGTGCGACAGTAGTGTCGTCGACGCAGAGGATTGAAGCTCTTGCCGCACACTGAGCACTTCTTACTGGCCTTAGACTCGGCTGCAGCGTTGGCATTGTGCACGTGACCCATTAGAGCCTGATGCGTTTGTCCACCGGCAACGATTGTCGTCGTGTTGGTACCCGTGATGGAGCTGGTGGTGGTGAAGGTCATGGGCTTGCGGTCTCCGCGGCTGCTGTGGTCGGCCGCGCGACTGCGATGCGTGTGGCTCTGACTGAGCGCCTCCATGTCTGCGGCTGTAGGAGTCTGGGACGGGAGACCCTGGGATTGGGTCGCAAACGATTCGGCAGAGGAGCTAGCGGTGCTGCGCGTGGACGAGAGTCCGGATTCCTTGTCGTCGCTAAAGGCGGCGGCGTTCCCACTGAGGAACTTGGAGCTGCTGTTGGCGATGTTAAAGTCGAAGAGGTTGCGACCCATGGAGCAGGCAAAGCGGCTCTCGGGGCGTGAGGAAGCGGGCGACTGGAGTGGTGCTCGGGTACTCTTCGTCTGGCCGCAATGCTTGACTGAGGAGGGGGACAGAAGAAAGAGGGAGGAGGAGAGAGGAGATTATGCACCAATGAAAGCGATGCAGTCGATTTTAAACCAATCACTACGATCTACTGTACTGGCTATGCGAAGGGAGTCAGATCCCCAGCGCATCGTTCGGTTGTCCAGACCCAATCAGCTGATGGTAAAGCGAGCGTAAAAAGCGGATAAGGTGACCAAACTCTGGTCGCCCTGCTGCCTTCAGCTGCCTACCAAGGTCTTGATGGAGGAAGCATTAGAATCAACGTATATTATAAGTTGCGATCGAGCTGACGGCGTGCGCTCAATGAAAATGAGCGTTGCTTACAGTGCCAGTGTCGGCCACGCCGACACTCAGCGGGGAAAGGTCGCCTTGGGCGCCGCCAGCGAGGCCACGACGAGTGTTTTGGTGAGAATTCGCACCGAAGACGGTGCCTCTGCCTGCGGAAGGAGCCGGAACCCAAATCTTGCCGTTGGTCCGCTCTCGAGCGAGCGACAGCACCACGCTTTGTCGAGAAGGGCCAACGAGCTGTGGTCCAAAACGCAGCTTCGCGGCCATAGAACGGCGCGTGGACCAACAGAGCACCGTGCTCTGAGCACGGGTGAGCTGTTCGAGTATTGAGCTCTCACTTGCTTCCGTCACAGCTCAATTGTCGAGCAGATGCAGTACTCTCCAATGCTGAAATCCATGAAGTCGAAGAAGTAATGCAAGCAAGTCGTAGGGCCGAAATCATCGTCGAAATCATCTGCGCCAGCCTTACTGCTGCTGATATTTTTCTGCGGTTTCCGACATCGAGTATCATTAGGCCGTGCCTAAGGCTCTATTGCAGTGCTCTACGCTGCCAGTGTAGAACTTGCGCTAGGATTTGGACTAACAGTCAGCGCCAACGGTTCGATGATAATGCGACGCTCTCTGAGCGGCGCGCAACGTGGCATCGAGGGCGTCACGTCACTGCAACTTGGAACTCGACCATCGAACTTAAGCCGAACTTAAGGGGTGATGGGCCAACTTCAACATACGGTACCAATCAGCGCATTTTTAGCTCATTTTTATTGCCATCCATTTGCATCTAGACAAAATATGGTTCCGGTTACCTCCCGAGACGATGAGAACAGGCAGCAGCCAACGCACACCAAGATGCCACCGCGCTACATGCGGCCCACGTTCTCGTCTATCCTGCCTGAGTATGCCAACTCTGAGGCTGACCAGATCCGCAATGCCTTCGGAGCTGGAAACTACGCCAACATCCAAAAAATGCCCGCCCGCCTGCGAAACAACACCGTGAACCAGGCGCGATTCGAGAAGATGAACGAGAACCGACTCACGCAGCACAAGATGGGCAAGAACGCCACCAAGAACGGGTTCTTCAATAAGTTCGAGTACACGTCGTCGCGTTTCAGCATTGTGGACGGACAGGCACATATGGAGAGACTTCGCTCTGAGGCTAAGCGCACCGAGATCAGTGGCCAAGACTTCGTGAGTGGCAGCGCGGCCGTGCGGCTCAAGCACGAGGACGCCTTTGGAGCTACGAACTTCCGATACCCACACATGCACGAACCCTACCCGGACAATATGGAGGAGAGGAAGCACAAGCGCTATCTTGAAGAGAAGAAAATATTGCACGGAGCCTTTGTGCCGTCTGGACAGCGACCTCCAGTGGACGCTGTCACACGGAAGCTTATCCCACAACTGATCCAGGAGATGCACGAAGTCATCGCTGCAGACTGGCAGGGTCTCGACTTCTCCATTGCTCCTGCTCGAGACGAGAACATTGTGGTGCGCTTCAACGACGTCTCCATTGAGTGCGAGAACGGAGTCGTCGCGTACATGAACGTATTTTGCAAAGCGAATAGGGTGGCGTGCAAATACGGATTGTGCAAGGTTGCGGAGGACTGGAATGCGAAGCCTGGCGATGGTGGACTCTACTTCGCTTTCCGCCCACCTTGGGTCAAAAACCGATCCAAGGATCTCATTGTCTTCGTCAATAACTCGAGCAGTTCATCTAAAGCTCGAGATAATCAGTAAAGCTTTCGTTTCTTAATGCAGACATTACTTATCGATCACGAAAATTGGGCAAAATACAGCATCCCTCTATGTTTGCTTGGTCGTCCAAATCACAGCGCCTTCAGTGTCTCTCATTTCATAAATTGTGGTAGTTATTAATACGCAACATAAAGTACAACGGTGATCTTTACACAGAGAATACTTCAGAAGTGATGACAGCATTTCCAAGCACCTACTCTGCTGATATTTTTATGGGGTCAAAGAGCAACTCATTCGCAGGTTAGGAGCCAATAGACTCACAAGTCGATGACTTGTTAAGGTGGAAGCACTTAATGGTGTGTTCATTTTCGCGCGAGGTTGTCGTCTTTGTTAGCACGTAAACTGAAATGAAATGCTCTAATCTATATAGTGCTAAGCCGGCCAGCGTAGTCACGAGCTGCCATAGTACTGGAAACATTAATGTTACATCCTGGATACTGTATCCTTTTCTTTGCCGGAAAAGCCTTGCCATCCGCCTTGCAATCCAAAACAAGGATGTCTAGCAAGCGTATCTACAGCGTCCACAAATGCTGCGACGGATTTGTCAATTATGCAACCCCACATCGGCTCGTGTAGTGTTCTAGGATAGCATCCACGGTAGCCTACGGCAGCAAGCATACTAGATTATGAACGACAGCGATTTGCCTGGACTTATTCTTTCATACAAAGAAGTTCGCGAAGGGTTCAGTACTTAGTCATCATAGCATCTCAGGAAATGTGCTTAAACCACTTGATAGCATGGCTTGTCCGAATTCAACATCTTGGTTGTTCTAACATGGGAATTACTCGTCCTGTGGTACATCCCAAAATCTACCAAAGCCCATTTTTCTCAATACAAACACTACTTGTTATCCATTATAAGTTGGGCGTCATTGTAGCCACATAAAGCTTGACTCTGCTGTTCTATTTGGTAGTCCAGAGCTCAGCGCCTTCATCGGCGTCCGAATCCCACATAAACGCGTTGGAGCCCCACTTCGCTCCTTCGTGGGGAGGACAGCCACCGTGGCGGCTCATGTGATCGATATCGCCTTCAGGAGTCTGTGTGTAGAACAGTGAGGCGTGTAGTCCACGTGGTGGAACTGCCAGACCCTTTGAGCATTCATCCATGCCGTCACGTACGATCTCCTCATCTGAGAAGCGATCCAACGCGAAGGGGAACACCGTTTCCCCACCGATCTTCGTCTGGTTATTCAGATACATGAACAGCGTCACATATCGCTGCGGATGGAAGTGCTTCACGTACTTAGGCAGCTTGTACCGCAGCAATGGGCTTCGCACACGAGCTTCCCACACTCGAATGATCAGCTCAGCGAAGTGAGGGAACGTCTTCAAAACTTGGAACAAGACGAGGTTGCGGCCACGGTTCTCCTTGAGCCAGTTGAACCACTCCTGGTTAGTCATTGGAATGATGAAGTCGTCACTGTAGTCCTCGTACACAAACTCCAATAAGCGCTCCTGGAACTCCACCGTGTACTGCGGGTACAAGTCACCACTTGGACGAGCAATAGGCGGGCAGTCGTCTCCGAGGTAGCTCACGCGCTCTTTAGCCCAACGCACCCAGTTGTAGTAGTGAGATTGGCCATTAACCTGTGGCTTCGGGAACGTGTATCGCAACTCTCCACGATCCAATTTCTCCTCCCAAGCCTGGACAATACGGGGCAGATACGATGGTCGCCTCTTCTCGTCCATTAGATCCTTCACAAGGTCCACAGCGTCCTTGTCCAAGTTAATACGAATCCACCGTTCGTATTCCTCGTCGAACAAAGCTTTGAACATATTAGTGGCCACCATTTTCTGGTAGAATACTTCAAGTAGCGCGTTAGGAAACGTCTGCTGGTCCTCCGAGTTGGGGAACAACACCCCACCCGTACGGAACTCCTCGGGTAGTTTGCTTTGGTCCAGACTACGTATCTTGTCTGCTGCCCACTTCGCCCACTCCACGTAATCTTCATAGTAAAAGGCGTTCGCATCTTTAGGCAGGAAATCACGCGAGTGGAACGTGTCGAAGTGCTGACGGTAGAACTCACCGGCATTGTATTGCAGCAGTTGCAGACGCTCAGCAAACGTAGGACTAGGCAGGCGAGCCACGCGAGCAGCACGTACACGGAAGTCGCGTGTGAATAGACTGTCTTCTAAGAAGGCCGTGTGACTCGTACGAGACTTGGACGTGACCTTGGACGAGTTGCTGCCGTCCACCTTGGAGCGAGACAGACCAGACATACCGAGCTCCATGATCTTCTCAGACTCGTTCTGGGTCAGGAAGTACTGAACGTCAAAGACTTTAGGGCTCATTGCCACTGTCGTGAGCACCACGCCGTCCTCCAGCACATACTGGTGTCCCTTTTCAATGCCTGGCCATTGCCACAACTGGAAGTCTAGTAGGATGTGGACGATGTTCTTAGCTTCAGCGAGATCTTCGGCATTGCGGATAGCAAAGCCCATCTGGTTGTACAGTCGCACGCCGTTCTCCATGACGTCGCGGTCAGCTCCGAGCCACGCGGCCGCGAGCTCTGCTGCCTTACCGATGCAGTTAAAATCTCCGTTCCAAGACATGTACATGCCCTCATTGCGTCCATTGAGCATGAAGAACACGCGGTCATTGCTCATTGGCTTCTCCAATCCCATGGGCCCCTGCACTGGGATGAGTTTGCCGTCGAATAGCGGGCTAGCTGCGAACTTATCGTCACTGCAGTTTAAGTCGCTCACGAGGTGGCGTACCTCCATGGCGATTAACGTCTCATCGTCGTACTTGTACAGAAGCTCCCGCTCTTCCGTTGCGACAGGTGAACGGTCCAAGAACTCGTTGAACTGCGTGCTGAGGCGGCCCGAGACTTTGGAGACTAGTTCCTCCATGGTCTCGGCCTGGAGCTCCCTCTGCGCCAGCTTGCCCCAGCCCACTGCGGCTGCTACGACCAGCAGTGGCGTTAAGAGGGAGATCGAAGAGCTCGATGACGATTTGGACGGCGTTTTGGACTTGATCGCAGTGGTGTCCACATTAGCAGCTGGTGATTCATCTACTGCAGATTTCTTGGCCATTTCTCAGCCTTTAGAGAGCGTTAGAAGACCGCACGTGGCTCTGGAAGGAGGGCACTCGACAGCGCGAATGAAGGAATGATCAATGCAGCGGAACGTGCCGTCGGGAATGCGTCGTGCGAGCGCGTAGAGGGCGGGATGGCGACGCCATTGCGTATCCATGTAGACGAATGTCAAATGCAGATCTGCTCGACCCTGATTGGATCAAAAATAAAATAGAGACTTTGGAGTGGTAGAAAAAAGAAGTTGATTTTGAAGATGCAACCTGCATCACCAGCATTTGCGCTGGAAGTGGACATGGCGTACGTCAAGCAATTTCATTACCAGGCAATATGTACAGCGACCAAATTTTCAGTACATGCAAGCATTGCTGCATAGCTCAAGGCCACTCCCAGTCATACACTGGCTTACTGCGTTCGTTGATTGGATATGCGCTTGGAAGCACCACAATGGAATGAAACATTACCATCTATGAAGCGCTGGGGTTTACGTGTGCGCGCTATGATACTTACTTGGTATTCCACAGATCGGCAGCTTCATCGGCATCGGAATCCCACATGAAGGAGTTAGATCCCCACTTGGTTCCCTCATGAGGAGGACAACCACCATGCCAACTGAATCGATCCACATCACCTTCGGGTGTTTGAACGTAAAATAGAGAGGCGTGCAAGCCAAGAGGGGGTACTGCCAGTCCGGAAGAGCACTCATCCATACCTTCACGAACGATCTTCTCGTCAGAATACCGATCCAGAGAGTAAGGGAACACCGTCTCGCCTCC